AATAGGCAATGGACCACTAGGTCCATTATATGAAATCTTTTACCCGTGAACTGGCCCCTACCTTTCCAAATCTCATTTATTACTTTGATTTTTTTCTTCTTATTTTTATGACATGTGTTATGTGTATGTGTGTGCGCGCAAAATTATTTTATTGCCAAATAACGAATTATGAGGGGTGCAAGTAATTTACTCCAATGACGGTGATTTCCAATTATCGGGAGAGGTGAAAGTAAGCTATCAAGCCTTAGACATGGAATCATTGGGAGATCGGAATTGATTGGAGTATTGGACCTGTTTTAGTGTTTGCTGGAGAGTAAATCTATTGGAACATATTGGAATTGATTGAACTTATCTGAACTTGTTGAAGTTGAAACTTTTATTTTTAAGAAAGAAGAAAGATGAAAGAATCCACCCTAAGTGTATGGAAGTGGTAGAAGATTTCAATTTCACATTATAAAAAAAGTATGCAATTTATATTGAACAATCGGTTGTATGTTACAACCAAAAAGGAAACGTAGAAAATTATTTCGAGAACAAAACTTGATATGTTTACCTCAGCTCATATATTGTGTATTGGCTTATCATTTATCAAGCCTAGCTAATGTGTTGGATCCTGCGAAAAAATTTAGGATGAAATTTAGATTAAATAATAAAAAGATTAATTAGTGGAAAGTATACTCTCATGAAAGAGGGGGGAAAATAGGGATCAAGGATCACAAATGAGTGTTTTGGAAAGAGATTTCATATCTAGAGAGGGATAAAACATAATCCAACCATCAAGTTTTAAAATTCCTTAGTTTCATTAGAATGACACTACATCCGTCTCAAATTATTTGATCCATTTTTCTACTGTGAGTGTCCCAATTAACTTGCTCCATATTCACCTTTTACAAATATTCTCTCTATTTTTTCCACTCATCTTTTTCCCTCTATCTTTTCACTTGCATAAAATCTTGTGCAAATGACCATATATTAAGTAAATTGGAACAAAGTAAATACTATGGATTAAAGAGACCATTACCAAATATATATATATGATTCATCATTTATGTTGGAACTTATATTTTATTCTTCATCCATTACTACTTATACTACTTCGTATTTCCTTTTTCATGATCTCTGATGTACTTATTTGATCATAGTATATTGTTAAATTGTGACTCGAGATCTAGTAGGCAAATTTTGAATGCATATATCTCTCAATATACAAGTGATTTTGAGGCGATTCAAGTTAGAGGTGATAGATTGGTTCAAGAGCTTTCCAACGATAGGTCATATGTCCAATTCTGATAAGAAACGAGAAAGTTATGATCGTGTTACGAAAAACTGACGCTGCTGAAAATATGCTAACGAAGTACGCGACTAGGCACGCCCATGCCTAGTTGATATTTCAGTTTTTTTGGTCTGGTTTTAGCATAAATAATTTAAGGGATAATTTCCTAAAATTATATTTTTTCTATGACGGCTATTTGAGTATACTTGGAGAACAATTTTAGGGTTTAATTAGGGTTTTCTTATGTTATAGAAGGACCCTTTAGTTGATCAATTCGATCATACCTTTTGAGCCATTAGATTTAGGACTCCTTGTATTATTCTCTCGTTCTTTCTCTATTATAGTGAAGAAGCTCTCGAATCCCCCACCCATGGATGTAGGTCTAATTTTGACCGAACCACGTAAATCCTTGTGTTCTTTGTTTATCTTCTTTATTGCTTTTCTCGTTCTTATTTTTCATTGACTTGTTCCGCGTTAATCAAACACAATTACACCCTTATTTCCTAACATATATTAAACTGCGTATGGGTTAAATTTATAAAATTGCTAATATATTGAAAGTTTATATAGATGAACAAGATTAACTTAAATATATTTCCTTTAAATATTAATGAAAATTTATAGTCAAAAATTTTAAAGTCGGATTTTAAAAAGAGAAATAGTAGTGCAACTATCTAGTTACAATATAGCCGGATTTTAAAAAGAGAAAGAGTAATGCAACTATCTAGTTACAATGTCACACCCTCACACATAATCATGATGCAAATGATACAAAGTTAAGTTGACTTAAGCAATACCATTACACTTTTTTTTTTTTTTTTCTTGGTGAAAATACCATTTACACTTTATTTAAAACGACTAATTAAACCGAGTAATGAAACTATGGTTGAAATTCAAAACACAATTTATCATTCTAGAAGGTATTCATTCCCCTAATGGTTGAAAAAAGGTTCTCCGCATTGAATGGCACATAGAGATAAGATTACAAGTATGTGGAACAATTTTACTTGGTTATCGAATTTAAGATATGAACCAATATTTATGGAGTAACTTATAAGGTCATATTGACAGATAAAGTGAAATCCCGAAGAATGCCGGATGTAAGAAGGTGGGGAGTGAAGTAGGTCATCACTATCAGTAGTCACGCAAAAAGAAGCAACGACGCCTTTTGGCGAAGGGTCTTCCAAGCCCTGAGATCGCGGAGTGCTGCGCGCTTCATTAATAGGAGTTATATACTTACTAGAGCAGCGAGGAGCTACAAAAGAAAAGAGCTCGCCAGAGGGAGCAATCCACCTAGTCTGAACGAATCGTTCGACTATGACCTGGTGACTCAATTCTATTCCTGCCATCATTTCGATGTACGACCTCCTACGTCTTTCTCCTGAAACCAGAAAGGCAGTAGTCAAAGCCCTCTCGCAAGCCCAGAAGACACTTACGTAAATCGGGTTGAAGCTAAAGGGAAGAAGCTTAAAGAGTGTGAGGAATGGAAGTTTACTTGTACATTTCAAATTCATATTGCCAATTCATAAGAAATTGACATTTTCAACAAAAAAAAAAAAAGAAAAAAAAAAAGAGGAAATGGACATATGTAATTATTCTCGAGACACCATGATTATGACATTCCAAGAAAGTTACAAATCATGGATTTCAATTGAATGTACAATTATATATGGACCGTTGAATTTAAATTATCTCTCCTAAGCTAATTAATAAGCTCTTTAATAATTTCATTATAGTCTCTTCTCGTGGGACGTACTTCCCATTTAGAGACATTCTTTATTGTTCATAATCAGTAGATTGGAGAATTACTGATAAGTTTTTATACCTTTTTTTTTAAAAAAAAAATCGAGATTGAGAAATGCACATGTTACTTGTGTAAGTAATTTGAAATCAATCATAGAGATGAGAGGTAATAATCAATTTATTAGTACTCTTTATTCGCCATCAAACAATCGATTTTAAAATGAAACATCACCTATGCTTAAGAGTGGTCTACCTCTTCTTTCACACGCGTATTATTGATCAATTTTTTTTCTCTATTTTTTGTCATGTTATTGGCATGGAGTAATTTGTTTGGTTTGCTACAAAATGTAAAGATCGTGTTTAAAATGTGCACATATAACTTACATAAGTTTTGACATCGTAGAAATTTCACCCGTGTTTATAAGTGGTCTACCTCTTATTTTTAGTGAGTAGAATTGATACCCCTTGACATTAAATATATGTAAAATCGAGGTTTTAATCCTTTTGGCTCTTTGATTGAGTTCTTAAATACATTTTAATTGCAATGTTTGATTTTTTTTATTTTTTATTTTATTTATTTATTTATTTATTTTTAATATTACAATTAAATTTTAGCGACAATCCAATCCTCAGACGTAAATGATAAAATCATTAGTTTGTCTCTTATTGTATCATGTTGTAAGACCATCTCTAATGGTGAGACTCATTGGAGTTTTTTTAGGAGAGAAAGAGTATTTTTTTTTTTAAAGGATACCAATAAGTTGGTATCTAAACTTAGATAGTCAAATGAAAAGCTGCTAAGTTTAGATACTCAAGTTTGAGTCTCAATTGACAAAAAAAGTGGGCCTTTATCAATTTTATATTGACTTAACTGTTAATGTTTTTATAAAAACTTAAAATTGTTTATTCAATTGGATGTAGTGGGACATATTAGAAAATGACATTATTATAGTTAAGAGAGTCTCACAATTGGGAAATTACATATCACATGAGTTGCTAAATTGAGAAGTGGCTTTGGGTATTACCATTGAGTGTGAAAAACAACTCATGTTGTATTTTAATACTCAAAATTGAGTCTCACCCATAGAGATGGTCTAATTTCTACATAATACTTGGTACTCAAGAATGACCTACTAGCTTATAGGCCGGTCGATGTGCCCAAGTTAGGTGCTCTTATCCGACTTATTTGAGAGCTCATTAGCACCCTTGTTTGTCAAGCATTTTTTTTTGTTTGGACCTACAAGGCTACAAGGGTATAGCAATATGAAATACAGAAGTCTTTCATCTAGCTATTTTGATGGCATGGCTAACATTGAAACTTTAGGTTATAAATTGTTTTAAGTATAATAGAATCTATAAAGCTACACAACCCGAGATGTCAATTTGGGCCATTGGGTTGGATTTGTTTCAAGTGTAATTGGATTTGAGTCATGCTAAATATAATTATTGTGGTTATAGAGAATAAATTTTGGATTGGTCGAGTCTGATTGAATTGGGTCAGTTAGTGTCAAAGTTCTAAAACCGTACTCCTTTTATACAAGAGTGAACCTTGATCATGTTTTATACTTAAGAGAATAGGTGCTCAAAACACTATGAAGTATTAAGGTTATGTTCAAGTATATTTTAATCTTAAAAGTTCCTTGAACAATAGATTGAATGTATGAGATAATAACGCAAGTAGGATAAATTCACCTTGATAAAGACTTGATTTGTCTGTAAGTTAAGTTATATTCAATACTTGTGTTTGATCTTGATCTATCACCCTTGAAAAATTTCTAATTTTGTCCCCTAAATTATGCTCCTATTTCATGCTTTTTTCCTTTGTACAAGAAAGAGCCACTAGCCAATGAAATATTCATCTTATTCTTTTTTTTTGAAAGATGAGCTAAATATATTGTCACATACTCCCAAATTAAATGATAACAACAAATCATAAAAAAAAAAAAGTGTAACATAGTATGTTGGTTAGTACAAACATCACTAATAGAAGCAATAATACAAGTTTTACAATCTCGTTGACCCATGAAGTTATTTTTTTTTTGGATCAAAGAGCATAAATGATATACAAAATACAGTGTAATTAAATTACAATTTGCCAACTTCAACAAATTAAATATGCTCGCATAAACCAAAAAATAGAATGTAAATAAATAAAACTTCTTCCCCCCCTCAAAATAAAAAAGGAAATTTTTTTTTTATCTCTTCTAAATGGTTTGCTGAACCTGCAGATAATACTTAGCAGTCAGAATATATAAACAAAATGTTGCCATGAAAAATAAGCAACATTTATGATTATTTTCTAAATTTGATCATCATCATCTAAAGTCTTTGTTTTTTCCTTTGTTAGCATGAAGAGAGTACTGTGAACTCCAATTGTCCATTCCATTCTTCTCCTGGCTTAAGGGTGAGGGGCTTCTCAATTGCGGATCCATCAACACATAACATTTTCTTATATTCGTCGTCTCCTAGATCTGCCAATGCCTTTGCCTTCTTTTCCCACGGATTCCACACCGCTGAAAGATATTTACTAGTTATTGTCAGCAAAACTTGTATCTAGTAGTACTACTTGCTAGTACTCCGTCTATAAAGCTTATAATTATGCAATTGTAACGCCAATAATGTTACAATTATGCAATGCATCTTCGTTACATAAAAAAACTAATCACTACTTGTCTAGCTACTCTGTAGTAAACAAAACTGACTTAACAGAATAAAACTTACCAACATCAGGAAGCCCTTGCTTTCTTATCTGAAATGTTCTTTTGCTTCCATGATCAAAAAGCGCGACTACATCTGATGAGCTCAGATAAATTCGATCAACCTGCACGAATATATAATTCATTAGTTTGAATTCTGTATATACAGAGAGGCAGTATGGTTTAAATTTATTTGTGTTGTCAAAAAAATTCCTAATTAGTACCTCAATAAGTCCAATAATGCAATATATGTTATATATCAGTAATCTGGGTTATGTTATGCACCTCTGATTCAAATGTTAAGGCATCTCCTTGTTCTGTAAATCGCTGCCTGTCCTGTAAACAGTCGAGATAGTCCAGAGTTTCCAACCCCTCCACTCGAACTTCACTGTATCATTAGCCCGAAAATTGATCATCAGACTCGAACATCATAGAAACAACTTGTAGCTAGATGCATAACATAAACAATTCAATTTTCTAACAAGACCTGACCCTATATGTTAACATTGAGTAGTGACACGCTTTATAAAATGGTTTCTTGACTTAATTCAAAACGAACAAAAAGGGAAAGTGTTAGCATCGACAAAGAAAGAGGTATTACCTGATGTTTGGGTACTAAAATGGTCATACCCATTTTAGTCTTGGGTAACTCTACCCATATAAGCCCAAAGGGCATAAAAAAGGTATAAAAGGCCCCAAATAAGTCAAATACATCAATATGGCCTTCAACGGCCCACATATGTAATTTTAGGGCTCATAAACCCACTTATGTACTCATATAAATACCCCTCAAAGGGCATAAGGTAAAAGGAGGTCACTCTTATCATCTAAGATGACCATACTCCTCCACTCTCTCCCCTAAACTCCTCTCAAAATATGCATTGTTTGGCAACTAACTTGGGCGTCGGAGGCTCCGCCCCGGGTTCAACCCCCGGGGCTCGGGGTTCATTTTGCAGGTCCATTCAAGGCCCAAATTCGAGGTTCTCAGACACCCCTCCAAGGCCCGGTTAGCTCATTTTTTTCCGAAACAATTTGGCGCCGTCTGTGGGGAGACGAGTACTACTACCCATGAAAATCCACTAATTCATGGCTACTGTGTTCTAACACGAAAAAGGGTCAAAATTTCTAGCAAATTTAACCCAAAATTATTACTCCTGTCAAAAGGGGTAATCATTCTTGCAAATGGTGGAGATGATAGATAAACATTTTGATTTGTCGCCAATCTAACCACTACTAACAAGATACTTCGTGCCTTTACAAAAAAATTGGGAAATATTCCATGAATATGGTCAAACCTTAATTATTCTTGAAGAAGAATAAAAGCTAGATCTACGTGGCTCTAATGGAAAGCTCACAAAAGCAAGCCTTTCATTCACACCACCAAGTTGAAGAGGCATCAGGTGGCATGAAACATACATAAAAAATCAATCAAGTTTATGTAAATTCAATGCTTGCCGAAGGAAATTGCCATTGTCTTCATCACAAGCTTCAAGGCTCACAACTCCACCACTAGAATGACTCACCATTTCATCCTAGGCAACACATGCCGAGGTCAATGGGGTCAAGGCTAGTATTGTGAAGTGAGCCAAATCTCTTCACATCACATCTAAAGTAGCAGCCGAAGAAGATCCGAGGTTGTCTACCGTTGTTGAAGCTTAAAAAAGCTCAAACTATCACCAATCTAAAAATCCGAAGCAAATAGCTCGGATAAGCAAAAGGAATCCGAAGCTCATCGAGCCGAGGCTATCCGAAGGAGTTTCAGCCCAAGCCGAAGGCGTTTCTGGGCGAGTCGAAGGTGTTCAGCAGAAACCAAGGGTGGTACAGTTTACCGCTCCCAAGTTAAGGTCGGTAACCATTGTCGAGCCAAAGCTCACCTCTTATCTCCTGGCCGAGGCTAGCCATAGCCGAAGCCGAGCCCAGCCGAGGTTTACCTTCGCCGAGATTCGAGCTCCCGGCCGAAGCTCACAACCATATGAGCCGAGGGTGCTGCCGAAGATGGTTTGTCTGAACCGAAGCTCATACGAGCTAATGCTAGAGCAACCAAAGCAATTAGCTTCGGCAGTCAAGTGCAATTGGCTCAAATTGTACCCGACCTCAACCTACACCAAATCTGATGATAATAAGTCAGAAGAAAAATTTACCTTTTGACCATTTTCAAAGAGCTATAAGCCATAAAAAAAAAAAACTATCTTTGTCAGGGTAGATGGCCAGAAGCTTTCTTACCTGCGGCTAATACTTTTATCAAGTAAATGGCTTCAGGCCCACTTTCATCAAAGCCCATCTATCAAATTGCTTCAGCAAAGAAAAATGGCTCTTAATTGAGTCAATATTTTCCTCAAAAAAAAAAATATCATCAACTATCCTCACGATGACGATGATAAAATTATTCATCAATCTTCCTCACGATGATGATGATTAAAAAAAAAAAAAAACAACTCTTTCTATCCTCGGATCAAGGGTAAACTCTTTCTATCCTCGGATCAAGAGTAAAACTCTTTCTATCCCCGGATCAAGAGTAATAAACTCTTTCTATCCTCGGATTAAGGGTAAACTCTTTCTATCCTCGAATCAAGAGTAATAAACTCTTTCTATCCTCGGATCAAGAGTAACCTCTTTCTATCTCTTTCTATCCTCGGATCAAGAGTAAACTCTTTCTATCCTCGGATCAAGAGTAACCTCTTTCTATCCCCGGATCAAGAGTAATAAACTCTTTCTATCCTCGGATTAAGGGTAAACTCTTTCTATCCTCGGATCAAGAGTAGTAAACTCTTTCTATCCTCGGATCAAGAGTAACCTCTTTCTATCCCCGGATCAAGAGTAATAAACTCATTCTATCCTCGGATTAAGGGTAAACTCTTTCTATCCTCGGATCAAGAGTAATAAACTCTTTCTATCCTCGGATCAAGAGTAACCTCTTTCTATCCCCGGATCAAGAGTAATAAACTCTTTCTATCCTCGGATTAAGGGTAAACTCTTTCTATCCTCGGATCAAGAGTAATAAACTCTTTCTGTCCTCGGATCAAGAGTAACCTCTTTCTATCCTCGGATCAAAAGTAAAACTCTTTCTATCCCCGGATCAAGAGTAATAAACTCTTTCTATCCTCGGATCAAGAGTAACCTCTTTCTATCCCCGGATCAAGAGTAATAAACTCTTTCTATCCTCGGATTAAGGGTAAACTCTTTCTATCCTCGGATCAAGAGTAATAAACTCTTTCTGTCCTCGGATCAAGAGTAACCTCTTTCTATCCTCGGATCAAGAGTAAAACTCTTTCTATCCCCGGATCAAGAGTAATAAACTCTTTCTATCCTCGGATCAAGAGTAACCTCTTTCTATCCTCGGATTAAGGGTAAACTCTTTCTATCCTCGGATCAAGAGTAAACTCTTTCTATCCTCGGATCAAGAGTAACCTCTTTCTATCCCCGGATCAAGAGTAATAAACTCTTTCTATCCTCGGATTAAGGGTAAACTCTTTCTATCCTCGGATCAAGAGTAGTAAACTCTTTCTATCCTCGGATCAAGAGTAACCTCTTTCTATCCCCGGATCAAGAGTAATAAACTCTTTCTATCCTCAGATTAAGGGTAAACTCTTTCTATCCTCGGATCAAGAGTAATAAACTCTTTCTGTCCTCGGATCAAGAGTAACCTCTTTCTATCCTCGGATCAAGAGTAAAACTCTTTCTATCCCCGGATCAAGAGTAATAAACTCTTTCTATCCTCGGATCAAGAGTAACCTCTTTCTATCCCCGGATCAAGAGTAATAAACTCTTTCTATCCTCGGATTAAGGGTAAACTCTTTCTATCCTCGGATCAAGAGTAATAAACTCTTTCTATCCTCGGATCAAGAGTAATAAACTCTTTCTATCCTCGGATCAAGAGTAACCTCTTTCTATCCTCGGATCAAGAGTAAAACTCTTTCTATCCCCGGATCAAGAGTAATAAACTCTTTTTATCCTCGGATTAAGAGTAAAACTCTTTCTATCTTCGGATCAAGAGTAATAAACTCTTTCTATCCTCGGATCAAGAGTAAACTCTTTCTATCCTCGGATTAAGGGTAAACTCTTTCTATCCTCGGATCAAGAGTAATAAACTCTTTTTATCCTAGGATCAAGAGTAAACTCTTTCTATCCCCGGATCAAGAGTAATAAACTCTTTCTATCCTCGGATTAAGGGTAAACTCTTTCTATCCTCGGATCAAGAGTAAACTCTTTCTATCCTCGGATCAAGAGTAACCTCTTTCTATCCCCGGATCAAGAGTAATAAACTCTTTCTATCCTCGGATCAAGAGTAACCTCTTTCTATCCTCGGATCAAGAGTAAAACTCTTTCTATCCCCGGATCAAGAGTAATAAACTCTTTTTATCCTCGGATTAAGAGTAAAACTCTTTCTATCTTCGGATCAAGAGTAATAAACTCTTTCTATCCTCGGATCAAGAGTAAACTCTTTCTATCCTCGGATTAAGGGTAAACTCTTTCTATCCTCGGATCAAGAGTAATAAACTCTTTTTATCCTAGGATCAAGAGTAAACTCTTTCTATCCCCGGATCAAGAGTAATAAACTCTTTCTATCCTCGGATTAAGGGTAAACTCTTTCTATCCTCGGATCAAGAGTAAACTCTTTCTATCCTCGGATCAAGAGTAACCTCTTTCTATCCCCGGATCAAGAGTAATAAACTCTTTCTATCCTCGGATCAAGAGTAAAACTCTTTCTATCTTCGTATCAAGAGTAATAATTCTTTCTATCCTGGGATCAAGAGTAAACTATTTCTATCCTCGGATTAAGGGTAAACTCTTTCTATCCTCGGATCAAGAGTAATAAACTCTTTTTATCCTAGGATCAAGAGTAAACTCTTTCTATCCCCGGATCAAGAGTAATAAACTCTTTCTATCCTCGGATTAAGGGTAAACTCTTTCTATCCTCGGATCAAGAGTAAACTCTTTCTATCCTCGGATCAAGAGTAACCTCTTTCTATCCCCGGATCAACAGTAATAAACTCTTTCTATCCTCGGATCAAGAGTAATAAACTCTTTTTATCCTCGGATCAAGAGTATTAAACTCTTTCTATCCTCGGATCAAGAGTAATTAACTCTTACAATCCTCGGATCAAGAGTATTAAACTCTTACAATCCTCGGATCAAACCTTGGATCAAGAGTGTTGCCTCATATGAACTCTTTCATTCCTCGGATCAAGAGTAATTAACTCTTTCAATCCTTGGATCAAGAGTGTTGCCTCGGATGAACTCTTTCAGTCCTCGGATCAAACCTTGAATCAAGAGTGTTGCCTCGTATGAACTCTTTCATTCCTCGGATCAAGAGTAATTAGCTCTTTCAATCCTTGGATCAAGAGTGTTGCCTCAGATAAACTCTTTCAGTCCTCGGATCAAGAGTAATTAACTCTTTCAATCCTTGGATCAAGAGTGTTGCCTCGGATGAACTCTTTCAGTCCTCGGATCAAGAGTAATTAACTCTTTCAATCCTTGGATCAAGAGTGTTGCCTCAGATGAACTCTTTTAGTCCTCGGATCAAGAGTAATTAACTCTTTCAATCCTTGGATCAAGAGTGTGTTGCCTCGGATGAACTCTTTCAGTCCTCGGATCAAGAGTAATAACTCTTACAATCCTCGGATCAAGAGTGTTGCCTTGCATAAACCTGAACAAATAAAGTCCTTCGACTCAATTTCTATGAACGAATTATTTGGGAAATTGAAACAAAACCCAACTCATTTTTTCAAATAGAATTGGGTCTCGGGGGCTAATTGTTTGGGTACTAAAATGGTCATACCCATTTTAGTCTTGGGTAACTCTACCCATATAAGCCCAAATGGCATAAAAAAGGTATAAAAGGCCCCAAATAAGTCAAATACATCAATATGGCCTTCAACGGCCCACATATGTAATTTTAGGGCTCATAAACCCACTTATGTACTCATATAAATACCCCTCAAAGGGCATAAGGTAAAAGGAGGTCACTCTTATCATCTAAGATGACCATACTCCTCCACTCTCTCCCCTAAACTCCTCTCAAAATATGCATTGTTTGGCAACTAACTTGGGCGTCGGAGGCTCCGCTTCGGGTTCAACCCCCGGGGCTCGGGGTTCATTTTGCAGGTCCATTCAAGGCCCAAATTCGAGGTTCTCAGACACCCCTCCAAGGCTCGGTTAGCTCATTTTTTGCCGAAACACCTGATATCGGAGATTGCAAAATATGTACGGAATGCAATATTGAAACTCAAGGGCTTTCCATTTGCATTCTTAACACGCGATCTTAATATAAGATTGCCATCCTCGGATAGTGTAACCCTGACTCGAATCTCAAATCTGAAACAGAGAATTTGTTGTTAGACCTTAAATCAACTAGTAAAATTGTTAAAAGACTTATTCAGGTAACATATTACTAGGTACTCATTAGTACATACTTGTTAGGCCACACTTTAAGATCTTCATCAGAAGGTTTTAACAACAAATTGACCGTGGCACAGCCTTTCGATTTATTAGTACGTGGTGAAGGAGGCTGATTGTCGATCACCCACATTCTATTCCTCGCGAATCCATGTTGCTCTAACAGGCCACGGCTTCCAAACTTCAGATCAATCCAAGGGTAGATGCACAAAATTACAGTAATCAGCTAACAATGAAATTTATGTTGGTCTAATAATATTTTTTTGTTTTTGTAGCTTTTATAAAAATTAGTAATTAGATTTTAATTTACCTGAGGAAAACATATGGGGATTCCCCCTCTAACTGCATTTGGCGGCTTAAACGTAGCCTGAATCAGTCAAATTTAAGGATGATTATTATAAATAATTAACTGCAAAGCATATGATTAATATATATAATTACCTATAAATCAATACTATTCGACCAATTCTTGACAACAACCCCACCTGGCCTCTAACTGATATCGAAAAGTCTAAAATATGATAATTAGTACTAATTATTTCTTAGACTACAGAAAAAATCAAAGATATTATTATCAGGAACCTTCCTTGTTATTAAAAATAATCAAATGAAAAATATCAGAAGTTTCAATGAAAATAAAATAAATTAAAAATAATTGAAGAGAAATGGGGTGGCCTGGCATACCTTGCTGCTCATGAACAATAATTCATCTCCTTGTTCATTCTTCCATGAAAGAACTTGACCACCATACAAGCTTATCTAAATCAAACACCAAATCAATATTGATTTATAGAAATAAAACCGCGCAAAGTGGGAAGAACTTGAAAAAATGGATGAAAAATGAAAACTAAGTGAAAAGATCTTTAAGGGACGCAGGGAGGAATTAACATACTGATAACAATAGAGATATATTGACTTACTCGAACGGAAGCGCCTCGTAGATTTTGAAGAATGATTTGAGTAATACCATTTTTGTCTTTGATTTCTTCATATGATGCAGGTCTTGAATCCAAGGAAATTTCTTCACAATTAGTCATTTTATTTTTCTCAACAACTAAGAGAGATAATACCATGCAAAGTTTATGATACAAGTTGTATATTTATAAACTTTGGAGAAATAATTCACCAGCCAAAATAAAATACTATGAATAATGAGGCAGAGGAATTGAATTTAATGAGAGAATAATTTTGTGGAAAATTTTCAGAGGATAGAAATAAGAAGTAAAGCCTTGAACTTTGAATATATATATATATATAAGGGAAGCCGCCAATTAAATTAAAATAAAGTTTAGAAAATTGGACTCTCTCTTACTTTTTTGTACATAAATTTTTCTAAGGAGAACAAAGACTTCCAACAACCACTTTAACTAACTTTTACTCCAACTAAAAACAAACCCTTTTAATTATTTTTCTTCTGACTAAAAATAAATCTTTGAATGCTATAAATACTACCCAAAAACCCCAAAAATTAAAAATAAAAATTTAATGAAAATGCGAACAAAAATAATTATTGGTGTACAGGTGGCAAAAAGATAGGATATTATGATTGTGCACAAAATTATGTGTGTGAAAAAAAAAATTGACACAAGAAAAGGAGATCCAAAGATCACAAATTCTGAATTGTGCGAATTGTGAAGAGCTTGAATTTAGCGAGACTCTTACGAAAACTATAGTCCATAGAATAAAAATTATATGAGAAAAATATATAAAAAATTTGGTGTAAAATGAAAGATATATATAGAGGAAGGTTAAGAAGGGTCAGGAACTCTTATCATTGCACATTAGAATTCCCCCAACCCTTTTAATTTCATATCATTTTTTGTGGGTTGATTATGACCTTCTCTTTTATTATTTCCTCCGATTTATAATACTTTACATGTTTTGACTTTTTACATTATACTAGATTAGTTCCATACCACGCACAATTTTTATAAAATTTTATAATGAATTATAATGTTAATTCATAATCTACCAAAAAATTATACTCATATTTTAAAATTAAATTAAAAAAACCTTGAATATTAATATATACTCGTACTCGGTATCTTGCAATATGGAACGAAAAGATTATAGGTTATTAAAATAAATTAAAATAAACAAAAATAATCAAAAAAGAGAATTGAAGTAATTTTAGGCGTGAAATTTTTTAATGAGATGATGATATGTCTCATTTTTATTCACTTTTAGTATATAGTTATAAATTGGTCTTAATGTATACTTTATAAATATTAAATTTTTATAAATAATTTTTTTTTAAAAATAGATACAAAGTGTTTCAAGTTATTAATGGTCAAAGGTGTGCATTTGCAAACGTGCTCAAAGAAAACAGATGACTAGGTGAGATACCGTGGGACAGGGGAGTATGTAATAACAATTGATTAAGAGAAATAGTAAATTAGAAAGTGGATACTCGAAGGGTCAACTTTAGAGAATTATAGGATTCATTTATAGGGTTAATATACTTTAATTTATATCATTTGATTAGCTAGCTTAGGAAAACAACAAAAGGGAATAAGAGAAAAGTATGAAACATAAACATTTTACATCATATTGTTAAATTAATTAGTATGATGAGTTGGTGATGAAATTTTTGTTTGGTTGTTCGGAATGATTGGAGTTGTAGATTATTTGATATAAACTATGTTGTCATTGTGAGATCCTACTTGGATAATGGGGATATGTGGATATACCCGACGTGTAATCAAACAATATTTTTTTCTCTAATGATCGAGAATCCTTAATTATCTTCCTATTTGTGATTTGTGAAACTATTTTATTTTTAAAATTTTGGATTTTTGCAGGTAGCCGCAGAATTAAAGAATTTATAAAATCTCTTATATATGTATTGTTTTTATATGGCTAAAGCTAGTTGTGTGGATTATTTATGGAATTTTTTTGTATCATTAACGATATCTATGATTAAAATTGTATCAATGTGTACTATCGAGTGAAAAAGAAAGGCTAATATTAATATTTTAATTTTCTAATGTGTTATTAACTATAATTGATTATTACTGTAAGTATTGATCTTTCATTGATGAGTTTTTTTTTTTTTATTTTTTTATTTTTTTTTTATTTTTTGGTATTCATATGAAAATCTACTAATGCAATTCTTTTGGATTAATGTCTTTCGGGTTATAAATTATGAATTTGTGATTTCTCCTAATATATGTGTAACTCCTACTCCTAATATGTGTTTTTTTTATAGTCCATTTTTATTATCTATTTATCAACATTATCGTGTCTTCATTTAGCCAAATTTGATCTTTTTGAACATGTATGAATTAATACAATCTTACCTAAAGTTATGTGAATTTTTTTTCTTAAATGCAGTAACTTATTTTGTTTAAGTTATATGAAATCATTGAAACTTTTTTTGACTAATGATTTTAATTGAAATTGTTTGTTTGATCTTGCTTAAACATTGTTTATTTAAAAATAATTCAAAATAATAAACTGAACAAATTACATTATTAAAGTTTGTACAAACATAAAGTTACGTACGAAGAATAATATGTATTACATCAAATTTATGAAGCATTGTACGTAGTATTTTATATTATTTATAGAATGACAAATATTTGGACAAAAGAAATTGGTTGTATTAACATACATGTTGAAGCAAGACTGGTAATGATGTGGCTAAACCATATAATGGTGCCACATATTCTAATTGCATGGCGACACCTAGCCACATCGACTTCATGTGATTCAATCAATTTATGACATGTGGCAAATGTTAGTATGTTACAGCATAATTTTGCATGGCTTGAAACCCTAATTCAAGGCCTTGATATCTAATAAGACCATGCCACGTGCTAACCAAACATGTCATATATCCAAGCTTCTGAAAGTCGTCATATGTCAAGATGACTGTGTCTGATAGTGTACTACTTGATACATAGATCAATAGAAGGATCTAAATTGATCTAAAACAGCCTTTGTAACTAAATGGGTTCTCTAACTACAATTAAGCTCATATACCTAAAGATTTGTTATTACTTAAAAATGTGTAATTTATATGGTTGTGTAAAGTCCATTATCTACTTAAGTTTCAACAATTACCACATTCCAATCCCTAGCCAATAAATGGAAATGAATGCTTAATTAGGGTACACTGTACATTTGTTCTAAACATTCCCAAAAATACCGCCATGTATGTGAATCATATGAAGGTTACATTAATATAACAATATTACTTGATCAATTTTTCGTAAATAATTAGGTTACCAAGGCATTCGAGGAGAAGAGGAAGATCCCAAATTTAATTCCCAACCAACAAGATTACCATCCTTTTTTTAGGTGTGTGTGCATGTAGTCATTTTATTTGTAAACAATTCCCAACTTAGTAGTAACCTACATAGTAATTCTACAATATACGGAGTATAAAATTTTAACATTTGGAGGCCACTGATAGAGTATAAAACATATTCTTAGGTTTTAACAAATCCGCTGCATCCACATTTCAAGCCCAAATAAAGGGCTTTATATAGCAAGTGATGGAAATCAAATAAATTACAATACATAATTCAGTTATGGATTTACTTGGCTCCCTAGTAATATTCTTGTTCTTGCATTCATTATTACTCTTCTTGATCCTTTTTATTCTTCTCATTTAATTATTTTTATGAGATTAAAAAAAAAAAAAATCAAAACGGAAACAACAAAAAGTATTTGAGGGTATTAACACCATCCATAAAATGTTCTGTATTATTTTTTATTTATGAAAATATGATGATATGGATTTGTCAAGTTGTTTTTTTTTTTTGTTTTTTTTTTTATTTACTGTCTAGAAAAGTCATTTTTGACGGGAATGTCCTAAATTGAGTATGTCATACGTACCGTGGGAGACTAGGCAAGAAAAGTTGGCTTTTAAAAGTTGAAATGAGGTTAAAAACTTAAAATAGTGTGAATAAAAGAAAAGGTGCTTGACTTTTTTATACATACATTTGACTTGATCAGGGGGTTATAAAAGACATTGTTGTATGCATGTAAGCAAACATGTTAAACATAATTAATGATATGTGACGATGATATGAGATTTTCCTTATTTAACGGCCAGTCAAATATTAGATGGATATGGCAAAGAATTAGTTCCTTATGACCCCACCACACTAATATTAGTATTCAAATTTGAGATATACTTGCATAAAATACAAATTTCGTTAATAATTTCCTATGTTGTTCTATCAAAGATGGCTAGGGCATATTTGTGCCGTTGTGCATGCTTGTGTCGTTCCATGCCAAGTTTATGGGTAAATATACATGATCCATTCTTCTGATCTTTAGCTCGCTATTTCGTGTCATTTTTAGATCGATAGATCACGTAAGCTAAATAAACAAAGACAAAAATCACTCCCTTTGATTTGTTTTTTATATTGGTGCAATTTAACAAACAATACTTTTTAGAAAGATGCATGAGTTGAACTGGGTATAGTATATATTGGCCATGTAAATTAGGTTTGTTGAGAATTAAAATTATAAATAAGTGTTAGTACGTAGGTTAATAGTTTAATAAAAAATAAGATATGTAAAATGGGATACTAATAAGGAAATGGACAATTTAGAAAAACGGAGTAATTAAAAAAGAGTATCATTTTAATTTGATGAATATTAATAAACTTATTTTGGAATAAAGGTGTCGATTATTGGATCAAACATAATGTGTGAGTAAATTATTTTATGATTTTTTTATGGAGAGTATATATGAACTCCATAATTATTATATGCATTTGCTTATCAATTTAATTCAATATATATTACAAGTTTACAACCATGTGCATACAAGCATAATATAATAGAAAAGGAGTAATTTAATTTGATAGTTTGATATTACATAAAGTTTTCAAAATTGTACCCTTTTCCTACGAATAGACAGAATAAATTTGATTCTTTTGTACTATCCTTATTTTACTATCCTATTATATCAATGTGATTATTGCTTCAAGAGTCGGTGGATAGGTCAAACTCAATAATAAGTGGAGGTGGTGAACCGTATAGGAAGATTCAGCATTGGGAGAATTATTTTCATAAGAGTTATCATTACTTTTTATTAGTTAATGTTAATAAATCTATAATATTCTCTTTCTCCTTAAAAAATCTTCCATCAAATACTAATTTACAAGCTAACAACCACTATCGCTAGTTAGTAGTCTAACGTACAATAGGTCACATATTTGATCTCTATTAGTCTATAATTGGAATAAAGTAGACATAAATTGAAAATAGATTCGAAAATTGGGCCAATTGCGCAAGAACCATACTAGGACTGGATCGGTAATACCGATTCAAATCCAAAACCCATATAGTGCTGGTTTTAGATTTGGTAAAAATAAAGAGAGTGTCATATAAGTATATAACTCACACATATAAATATACCTAACATAATGAAGGTTAAAATTAAGCATTCGATCTAGAAGTTTTTATGCATAATATTAAACAAAAACTAAAATGATGATGACTCTAATCCAAGATCCGTTTTTAAAGGGTTTTGAATAGGATCGAATCGAATCAAAGATCAAAAAATTTAATCTCTCAACCCAGATATCGAACTAGTTTCCTACGGTTTGATCTTGACCAGTTGTTTTTGAACACCCAATTTAATGGTATTGTGCTCATTCGGACATTAAAAAAAAAAAAAAAAACTGATTATCCACTTTTTTTTTATTA